ACGATACAGGCCTGAGAGCAGCTGACATCATATGCCAGCTGGAGATCTCTCACACTAAAAAGTTTATAGCCTTTCTGTCAAACAAAAGGGACAATCAGTAAGCGAAAATTAACTTCCAATCCACAGTACCACAGATCTGAGGTGGGATGTGCCTGCAATGCACAATTAAAGCACTCTACCTGAGTAACCGTTTCTCTGACAGCTTCTGCTTACAGCTTAAAGAGCAGAGAAGCAATCTGGGTCACAAAAGCATATTCAAATGTTGGGAGTAAATTACCTAGCTGCATAACACTGCCACCATGCCATCTTCTCTCTGAAGAGAAAGTGGCTTACAGTAAGTAAAGCAGTGAATCCCTCTTTTAAACACATCCCTTAACCTTCTTTAAATTTATTACATTCAAATTAAAGTGATAGGACTTTGTTTAGATAAGTTGAAAACCTCATGTTGGCAGCCAGAATATCTTATTTATAAGAACTCAGAGGTCTCGGATTCCCATATTTGGATTACGTTGCTTTAATTTATTTATTTTTCCAATTAAAAAGTTCTCACTGCTCATGCATTTTTTATTCCCTAATGTGCTGTTCTATCAGCAGAAACATAAAAGAAGCAGACAACATGTTTTTTCAGTCAGAGACTACTTCCTAGCCTGCTCCAGTTTTATAATCTATCCTCCTATGCTCTTACCAACCCCCTCCATCAAACAGCTAAGAGTATCCATCGAAACCACAGGCTGTATTCATAGTAAAAGGCACTCCAGCACATATTTTCACTGGAAAGCATTAATTTTTGCAGCTAAGTGCCTTTCCCCCTTTTACGCCTGCAGACAGAGTTCAAGTAAAGGAATACTGACAACTGTCTGCACAGGTGAGTGCCTTTGTAGTAATACAGCTAATGAGAACTAAAACAATAGAAATATAAAGCAAGCACCTTTCAAGCTTACCTCCTCAGATTAATTAGACACACTGAGAACAATTTGGAATTTATATTTCTGAAATAAATCGTCAATACCTACATTTTCATACAGTACCCACCACCTCTTAAATTGTAGGGTCCGTGCTATTCCCTCACTCTTCTCTTAACACTATTAAATGCAACGTTTTTCTGTGTTGTTACTGTCGTAGGAGGCAAGCATTGCAGCGGACAGTCAGGTACCACGGGCAACATCGTCACAGACTGTACAACTGAAACGAATAGCCAGTGAAGAGAAGACAAATGCCAGCTCTTATGGGACTACGACAGTCTCCTGGGGTTGCGAATCTCCTGACAACGCAGGTATGAACAGCGGGATCCTTTACCTCTGCTCCCCTAAGAGGCCAACCTGGGAAGGTAGGTGGCAGAGTTTATTTCGTTACATATTAACCCTTTGGTGCCATGGGTTATTTAAGGACCCTCTGACAACGACACAGTTGTTCTAGCTCAACCTAAACACTCGCCAGAAAGCCCCTGACAACCCCCTTCTCCCTAGAGCAGGGGAGCACAGATCCTACATATAACCAACACTTTGAAACAAGATTTGTTCGCCACTAGTGGACTCAGCATTGCAGATACAACAAAACCAAGAGCAGCGCACTTAATTTCCATGTTACTTTCAGCACAGGTTGTACTCATGCATCAGTTGTACATTCGTAATTAATGTAGTCTTGCCATTTTTCTAAGCTTTCAGAACCTTACTAGAATGTTAAAAGCACGTTAGCAAGTGCACCCGCTGCTTATTATGCCAGTTGTCTGAGACGTATCCCTGGCTGGAGGTTACTGCCTCGGCCCAGCACAAAGCTCTCCAAGTCAGTGAGAAGGGTCTGGTGACATCCAACAGGTTTTTAGTCTGGACTCTAATGTATCTTTCTGTGTCAGCAGCTCCAAGCTCTAGCATCAAACTCGGCTACAATTCTCACTCCTTGTTCTTGAAGGAGCACCAAAAGGAACAAGTAAAATGCAGCAGGAGCTGATTTCAAAAGGGCGTGTACTTGGGCAAATATACCTCCTTTGATATGTATGCCTCCCCCACCATATTACATCTCATTAGAACAGAGGCAATTACACTGTTTCAAAGATGACTCTTAAAAGCACTAAAGGCTTTTACCAGTTCTCAAGTACTCTTCCCTAACCTATCCAGGTCTGAAAAACAAAGTCAACTTTGAACTGAACCCAAAAGACAATCAAGTACCAAACGTCAAAGCAATTTTACGAATCAGAGTAATGTGGGTGATAAGGCTGGGAAGAATAGAAGCAGATTCGACTACCTGTTCACAAATTACGAGTTTCATCTCCAATGCTTTCTGATCTACTGCAGGTTTTGGAGGCCAGAGACTGGCTTTGGGTATCAATACAAATCCTGTAGCAAAATTAGGTTGTTGCTGGATATTTTTCCCAATGCGAACACTTTCAACGTGCTCTCAGATACAGGTTAACTTTAATAACGCTGCATTCACAAATCACTCACTCAGAATAGCCTTCCAAACGTGTAACATATTACCATAGCCCTAAACAAGGAGTAATGCATTTATACAAATTCGTGCATAATTATAAGGAAGCCGTGTTGCAACCCCCTTAATAAAATCCAGTAGGAATTAAAGGGATTAATTTTGCTGGTCATTTTTTTTTTCCTTTTTGCCTTTTTTGTTTTTTTTTAGAGGGGAAAGAACAGTAAGTAAAAAGCACAGAACTTCTTTAACTAGATAGGTACACTTCAAGCTAAATTCCTGTTCTGATGACACCGAATCTCTGCAGGAGACGGGACAGGTCAATCTATTGACTGCAGTCGTATTCTCTTTCCCTGTGACTTACTTGTTCAATTAAGTCTGCAGAAGCATCACTTCTCATTAGACATCCTGAACTCCGCTGAGAGCACCTGACACCACACTAGCCTAAAATGGTGACATTTACATGTAAAGTCTACAGCTCTTTCAGTGCACACTTTCAGCTGCAGCTTTCCTAACACTAACATGAGGAAGGCTTAGGATTTTCAGTAGTGCTCAGAAGTACCCCTCATGGGCTTGCTCTTCATTTTCCCATCTTTTGACATTTACTGTGGTGTCATCAGGAAATGCTAGTGCAAAGATGAACAAGATGCTGACGACTCTTCTGAGTGCAAAGATGTAGGGGGTTAAGATGTAATAAAGGAAACTATAACACCAACATTCACAAAATTCTCTAATTAACTGAACAGAGATGCTACAGCTGAGTCAGGAACTTAAAGACTTCCTTTTTTTCTTTTTTTTTTTTTTTTCTCCTCCTCATTTAAACTTGTACTGTGATCTACCCTCAAGTCATGCTTTCAGAACTATTCCCATTACTTTCCCACAGGAGTTGTTATAAAATACCACAAACACACAACCAAATAGAGACATTTAGGTATGGATTTATGCTGGGAGCAGCCGAGATGTACCACCTTAAGGGACACTCTTAGACGCATCAGCCCTGTTTAGGGCTACCTGACAGAGACAGCTATACACATTTATCACCTCATATGACAGCACAGCTCATTCTGTAATTGTATTTATCTGTCGCTGCCTGTTGCTATAAAGAAAATCAGGCCACAACCATGACTCTGTGCAGCTCTCTTGTGCCTGGATAGACTTCTGCACCAGGCAGGCATTTTGTGTTGCCTTCCTTTCACATTGCGTGCAAGAAGGCAGCCAGCTAAACAATCTGCTGAAAAGGGCTTTCCTAAAACACATTTGCTGTTCATACAAAGAAAAAAAAAAATCATAGCAGATAATAAAGAACCTGTCCCAAAACCCCGTATGTCAATAAACAAAAAAGTATACTATTGTAAGCAAATAATATAACAGATAAACAAATGGTAAGATAAATAAATCAGACGACTGAAATGAAGACAATCTTTACAAATTGTAGATTTCATGCTTTAATTAAATTAAAATTGCTGTAAACATTTAATTGCTTCTAGGGTCCAGAGAAAAGGATTCAATAAGTAACCTTGCTTCAGATTAGATTTTTACTGTCAGTAGTTAATGCAGTTGCGGAAAATGACTGTAATCTTCTCAAAACAGTATCTCATAATTCCTTTGGTCAAAATTTAAACTTTTTCAAATGTTCCAATAACTGCATACTCCTCTAATACTCATATAACTTTATTCTGCCAGCCTGAACAAAACGAACACTTCAGGAAAAAAATATCCGCTACCATCACCCTATCCATTTAAGTGCCACAGTTCCAAAATGCACATGCCGATCCTCTCACTGAAGGCAAAGGATATTTTTATATTAGTTTCACTGCAAGAAGACACAAAAGTAATGATTTATTTTCCTCATTCCTAAAGACTGTTTTCAGGGTCCAAATTTCAAGCTTTCTGAGTTTCCTCATCAACCACTAAGTTAGCAAAAGCCGAAGTCTTCAATACATAGTGAGATCACGTTCCAAGGGAATAAAGAGTCTAGGTTTGCTCCTTTTTATTCCTTGAAATCCTGACAATCTGCCATCTTGCAGTCTTCACAACTTTTAAAGGGAAAAAAGTGCAATGACAGACAGAATACCCTTCTGAAAACAAAAAGCACCAGTTCTAGACACGCAAAAAGAAGCTTCCAGGTTTCTCAGAAGTTTCCAAGTGGGGCAGCGGGTGGAAAATCAGTAAAAAGTGCATTGCTTGATTATGTAAAATAAAATTAAAATGCCTCTGACATATCCATCTATTCTTCAAGATTTCAGGTATGCTGAGTGAAGCAGTTCACAACAGAACAGACTGCACACCAATCCATCACACTTAAATGCAATCACAGTCAAACTAACATCAGCTAGTGCCTAAACTACAGAGATGCATTTAATAGTCCCCAGTCAGCAATCAACCCTTCCCACATTTGTTCATAATCACAATGAATTGTTTCATTTTAATGCTTTGTTTTCTTTTTCTTATCCCATGGCAGTTTACGATGCTTTTTAAATTAGATATGTAGAAAAAAATTCTCCTTTTCCAATTTTATTCCTGTGTGTAAGTAGAGAGCATTTTTAAAGAAATATAAATTACTGCACAGATTTTCTTACCTGTTGCAGTCCACGTGGAGCAGAAGGTGGGATGCGCTAAGTGACACGGCAATCTTATGCCACTGTCCATCTGCCAGACGGTAGGGGAACACCTCTGTTCTTGACTTCCCGTTAAACCTGTAGTGATATCTAATCTCATCCCGTAGGCCACTGCTCTCCAGTTCAAAATAGCTGTATTTAAAACATGAAGAAGAATCAGTTCCATTTTTTGGTTTATTCATTGCTTCTGTCACTTTCTTCTTAATTCATAAACTTCTTTAAGCAAACACCACATGGAAGGTCACAATCTGAAGAGGTTACTCAGCATGAATTATCTACCAGTTCGTTTTTAAAAAGAGGTGGAGAGACAAGACTATACATTCAGTGCATGACAAAAATAGCAGTATCAGTTACACAAAACCAGCTCATGTTCAAAACACCATTTGACAGTCGTCGAAACTGAATTCCTCTTTTTACCCGTAGAACAGGTTCAACTACAAGAAAACAATCCTTATTCTTTTCACCACAATGTTTTGCATGAACACAAGATTTGTGGGAAATGCAAAAATAAAGAACTGTACATATCATTACCAACAAACAAACAAAAAGCCATTAAGGTAAGAAACCACTTGGTAATCATTAAATTTGTTTTTACTATTTGCATATCCACTTTTTAAAAAACTGTTTACTTTTAGGACTCCCCTACATGCAATCGCGCTTAACTCATTTTCTGACTTCTATTGTTACAGCTGTAATTGTTCAGCTTTACAAGGGAACAAAACCCCCTGGCTGGATTAGTGTCTCAACACCTAGTATAAACAATCAAACAGTCAAAACCTTCACAGTTGTCCCAGTCATGGGAGCGCTAACAAAGTACAGCTATTAACTGGCTTCATGCCGGCGGGGGGAGCCAATTCTTTTTCTAGGGTGAATTTAGCCCTTCCAGGTGGTAGCACATTGACAGTGTAAATAGTGAATCCTTCTCTTGGACCTCAGATCAGAGTATTTATAGCGTATCAAATCAAGGCTCTCTTTTTTCCTGCTAAAATGAAGCCCTGCATACAGAAAGAAGGTGCAGACCTCCTTTTATAGTAGAAATAACTACAACTAAGTGCAGATGTTAGGTTGCCCAGCTAGTTCCTATCCCCATCTACCTCCACAGTGTCATGTTTTTCCCTACTGGACAACACCAATTTAACATGGCAGTTGAAAGACCGGTGCTAGTTTGGGGTAAAAAAAAAACAACAAAAAAAACCCAAACCACCACACCCAGTAACAAAAGCCGCTTCCAAAAAAAAAAAAAGCAACACAAAATAATAAATACTCAGGTGCTGATTTTCATTTTCGCACGAGCCTTTTACGCTGCTTCGCTGTACACAGACCTCAGCAGCCAGTGTGTGCAAGTGTTACGTGAAGTGCATATACTTCATCAAGAATAGCTCTCACCAGTGAAGCGGAGGCTTTTTAGAACATAACTGAAAAACGGAGTTCTTTGGGAAGTACTTACTTATGAGATAAAACTCTTGCTGGGAACACGTGCAAAAGATCACAACAGACTGGGAAAGGGAACACCAAGACAGTAAATCTCGACCAAAAGAGAAACTCAAGCCCTCCTCTGTCCTGCCAATGCCTTGCCATTACATTTTTCATGTAACTTCTGAGCATTATCACGTCACCCGAATTAAAGACTCAAGTGACAAATTCAAAAACACAAGCAGATAAAGGCAAAACCAAAACTGAATAAAACCAGAGCAGGCACAGGTACAAATAAAATACAAGCAGTACAGAGTGGAAGAAATAAGAAAGGCCGGTGTTGTGAAGGAGCTGGCCTGTTTCATACACATAAAGGCTCAAGGAGGGCAGAGAAACAGGATTTTTCTAAATGGTAGAGCAGAATGTTGATTAACTGCTACCACCACCCCGCCCTCCCCCATTAAAATACCTAAATTACACTCATAAGAAATCTGGAGAGGATTTTTTCATTATTTTATTTTGCTGCTCAGTTAACAGCACAGTCAATATACAGAAGATACTGCTGCTGGTGTTTCCAAGCCAGGACAGCGCTAGGACAAGTACCGTCAGTGACATCATACGTACAAAGTTAAACGTTTCGTAATTGTCATCTGTCATCTGAGCACAAAAAGGAAGTCGTAAAGAGACTCTCTTTCTCTCTTGTTCAAATAAACAGCAGTGAGGCAGAAAATTTCAAAAAAAAATGAGGGAGAGCTACATAACACTCCGGTATCTGTCTCACACACAAAGTATTTGTATAAATATGTATATTTACAAGGCTGATCATAGAAACTTAAGAGCCCGAGAGCAAGACAAGGTCCTGTTGCAGGAAGCACATCACTTCGTGCAGTCATTCTTCATAATCACCGATAGCCACGGAGCTAATCGCTTACCACACAATATTTTGTTTGTTAATAAAAAGGCAACAGTCCAGCCCTGGAAAGGTCAGTGTACTTAATTACATGTATGCTCTATTATTTGAACAGCACAGGGAACTGCAAAGCAACGTAGTTTCTCATCTGACAAGCCTTAGTGTCAATAGTTACTTCAGGACTAAAAACAGCTTGTTGCTTAGGCACCGAGTTTGTTGTCAATCTCCTGACTAATTTATAGAACACAGAATTGACTAGTTAAAATTTACTTTAATAGCCAGTGCTAACCTTTTTATACATGTACACCTAATGCACTGCTAAGTGCCACAGGACTGTATAAAACACGTTTTACCTCTTGAGTGACAGGAAAGGAGGATGACAGCAGACAAATTCTGCACCTATTTTTTCAACATTTTTCAACAAGTGCAAATCAGAAGCAGTAACGCTCAGACAGACACCAGTAAACAACAGCCAACAAAAACCCAAACCCAACAGCGGAAGCTGGCTGGATTAGCCCAACTTATATCTATCTCAAGTATTTAAAAAATGCAAGGCAATATAAACCAACACTCTTCCATTGGGGTTTGGTGGGGTTTTTTTGGAAGATGCACAAATTTACAGCGAGATCTTGATTACACACACACTTCACCGTGTTTACCATTCAGAAGACGTAGTTGTCTTTTCTCTACTAGAATATAATTCACGTGCCAATAGCTTTCTCAATAGCAAACGTCATCTTTTCTTTCCTCCTCCTACCAGACACTGGAGGAAAGCCTCCTCAAAAGCAATGACATAAAGGCCATTCACTCCTGGAAATGAATGCACCTGCTCCGCATTCAAGTTCTAATCTGCAAATTGTGGAATGGAACACAAATGAGTGGAAAAAACATAAGCTTAGGCAAGAAGTCATCAACCTGTGAGAAAATAATTAGTAAAACCAGAGAAAATACATGGTTTTGTTGGGGTTTTTTTTTAATATCTGTCTCATCTTGGACTTGAAGTGCCATTGCACAAGTTTTTATCTACTACAAAACAACAGGTAAACAACAGGGGGAAATTAACAAAAGCTACCATAAAAGAGGCAAGAAAATGAACTAATCTCTATCAAGTCTGTCTTTCTGTAGGTACTTCCCAGTATTTTGCAAGGAAGAAGGAAACAGGAACAGAACAAGTCAGGGTTGCTGAAAGACTGCAGCACCTGTGACTGTCTGAATAAATGTATCATCAGTAGACAAGTGTGAACTTTCAATGTTGCCATGAGATCTATATCAAAAGCCCAAGGGAGATCCCCAAGTATTACAACTCATTCTGCTTCTGCATCACATCTGCATGAAGCCTGACTGGAATGGGTCTAAGATATCTGTGTGTCAACCTGCCGCTATAGTTAGCCCCTTGCTACCCTCCTCAAGACCTTTTCCAAGTAAGAGAGATGTGAGACAGTAATCTACTTGTCAACTTGTTAGCATCAAGTGATGGGTTTCTTGTTTTGTTATTTCTCGATGAGGATTTTTTTTTTTTTTTTTTAACAGACATGGTCAAATTAACATGCATTTTGACAGATGAAATTCTCAGAACACATGTATTAAGAAAGCCCTCTGTTTATGTAACAGCAATGCAATATGACCTTGGCTGAAATTTTCCCACTACTAGAATTTTCATATTTGCTAAGCACGTAAGCTACTGCTGACTTCTTTTATACAATTATAGAATTCAAATTCTTTTTATAGGTCTGTCCGCAGCGTCTCATTCAAATCCCAATGTATAAGAGAAAAAAGAAAGAAAAACATGTTGCTAAATTGAGATCAATTTTATGGTCATCAAAGAAGTTGGGATATTTTAAGATCATGCAACGTGCTTTACAGAAAGACAATATTATTCCACAATCCACTCAAGATGCTTTACAATTCTTTCTGATAACTTTTGCGACCCCTATGTACCTCGCACACAAATACTGTTATGAGACGATAAAGCCTGACTCAGTGATGTTTAACGCTTGCTCTTTTTTTCCTTTTAGTCACAACCATAGTGAACATTTAACTGTGCATTTGACAGCTCACTTCACTTCCAGATCAGGAGAAAAAGGTGTCTAAAAGTATACTGTAAGTTGGAAAGAGCTGCTGTGGATGTAATGACAAAAAAAATTGAAAAAGTCATTATCAACAATAAATAAGATCATGTAAGACACCTGAAGCAGAAAAAAAACCCAAAGTATTTCTATAAGGTGAGTTGGCTTAATCCACCATCTGCATTAAAGAAACATATTCATCTATTCATCATATCTACCACAGCAGCGATCTTAACCTGTGACAAACACCACCACATTCCATTCAAAAATTTTACCACTGTCAGGTTGTGGAAGTGGCCAAAGGAGGGAGGGCTCACAGACCCCAAATAAGACGCGACCCCAAAAAGAGCTCTGGGATATGTGTCCTTCTGAATATCTTTAATGTATACATCACTTCTTGTTCTGATCTTTATGATGCTAACACCTATTACGAGACACTAAAATATACTACAATGAAGACAGGGCACCATCTGGTAAGCACAATGCTGACTAAATGCTCCGATAAGAGCTCTAAGAACTAAAGCAAAACTACTTTTTGCATTCAGTTCTGGAAATCTTCCCCTTTATCACGTTCAAACATAAATAAAGCCGAGTTAGCATTCTGATTTTACAACTTCCGTCATCCCTGATCAAGTGCCAAATGAAGCCCCACAGCCTCTTTGAAGGAGCAGCACCAGCACTTATAGCAGATGCTCTTAGAGCTACTGAACAGATGTCCCAGGGCAAGGCAGCAGGCACAGATG